ATTTCATCCAGGTTGTCCAACTTGGTGGAGAGCTCACAATACTAGATATCAAGTTATATTACAAAGCCACTGTGACCAAAACAGTGTGGCACTGGCACAAGAACAGACATATAGATCAGTGGAACTGAACAGAGAACCCAGAAATTGACCCAAGCCACTGCGGTCAATTAATATTTGACAAAGAAAGCAGAAACATACAGTGGAATAAAGACAGTCTCTTCAATAAGTGGTGCTGGGAAAATTGGACAGGTACACGAAAAAAAAAATGAAACTAGACCACCAACTTACGCCATTCACAAGAATAAACTCAAAATGGTCAAAAGACTTAAATGTATGATGTGAAAGCATAAAAATCCTAGAAGAAAACATAAGCAGCAAAATCTCAGACATCTCTTGTAGTAATATATTTGCTGACTCATCTCCTAGGGCAAGAGAAACAAAGGAGAAAATAAACAAATGGGACTAAATAAAAATAAAATCTTCGGCACAGCAAAAGAAACCATCAACGATACAGGAGCCCGCTATATGGGAGGACATATTTGCCAATGACACATCTGAGAAAGGGTCAATATCCAAAATATATAAGGAACTCACACAACTTAACAAAAGGAAGACAAACAACCCAATTGAAAAATGGGCAAACGACCTAGATAGACACTTCTCCAAAGAGGACATACAGACAGCCAAGAGACATATGAAAAAATGCTCAAAGTCACTAATCATCAGAGATATGCAAATTAAAACATCAATGAGGTATCCCCTCACATTTGTCAGAATGGCTAACATCAACAAATCATCAAATGTCAAGTGCTGATGAGGATGTGGAGAAAGGGGAACCCTAGCACACTGCTGGTGGGAATACAGACTGGTGCATCTACTATGGAAAACAGTGTGGAGTTTCCTCAAAAAAATTAAATATGGAACTACGATTTTACCCAGTGGTCCCACTTCTAGGAATATATCCTAAGAATCCTGAAACACTAATCAGAGAGAATATATACATCCCTATGTTCATAGCAGCTCTATTTACAATAGCTAAGATCTGGAAACAGCCCAAGTGCCCATCAGTAGGTTAGTGGATAAAAAACTGTGCTACATTTACACCATGAAATTTATGCAGCTGTAAAAAAGAAGGATCTTTTATCCTTTGAGACATCATGGATGGAACTGGAGTGTATTATGCTAAGCAAAATATGCCCGTCAAAGAAGCAAGTATCACATGATCTCACTGATATGTGGAATATAATGAACAAAGTAAACTGATGACCAGAATAGATCCAGAGACATAGAAGCCTGAAACATACTGAGGGATCTCAGAGGGAAGGTGGGGATGGGGGAGTTTGTGGGGAGAGATTAATCAAATAATTTATAGGCATATATGCATAACCCTTGGACATAGACAATGGTATGGGGAAGGCCTGGGGGTGGTGTGGTTGGGGGTGGAGGGGATCACTAAGGTTAAAAGGGGATATCTGTAATACGTTCAACAATAAAGATAAATAAAATAAAATAATAAAAAGAAACAATATTAAAAAAAGGACTACCCAAAGCAATCTATAGATTGAATGCAATTCCTATTAAAATGCTAATTTTACAGAACTAGAAAAATATTCCAAAAATTTATATCGAACCAAAAAAGACCCCGAATAGCCATAGCAATCTTGAGAAAGAAGAACAAAGTTGGAGGTATAGAAATAGCAGATATCCATCTATATACAAGGTCATTGTAATCAAAATAGACTGGAACTGGCATAAGAACAGGCATAGAGACCAATGGAATGGAACAGAACAGAAAGCCCAGAAATCCATCCAAGCTTTTATGTGAATTAATATTTTACAGAGGAGGCAAGAGGACAAAATGGTGTAAAGACAGTCTCTTCAATAAATGGTGTTGGGAAAATTGGATAGGTACATGCAAAAATGAAACTAGACCACCAGCTTATACCATACATAAAAATAAATTCAAAATGGATGTAAAACTTAAATGTGACTCTCAAAACCACAAAAATCGTAGAAGACAACATAGACAGTAAAATCTCTGACATCTTTTGCAGCAATATTTTTACTGATAATGTCTCCAAGGGTAAGGGGAGCTCAGAAAAAGATAAACAAATGGGACTACATCCAGCGAAAAGACTCTGCACAGCAAAAGTAGCCATCAACAAAATAAAAACAGAATCCACTATATGGGAGAACATATCAGACAATGATACATCCAATAAGGGGTTAATTTCCAAAATATATAAAGAAGTTATACAACTCAACACCAAGAAGACAAACAATCCAATTAAAAAATGGGCAAAGAACTTGAATAAGCACTTTTCTAAAGAGTACATACAGATGGCCAATAAACATATGAAAAAATGCTCAAGGCACTAGCCATCAGAGAGATGCAAATTAAAATGACAATGAGATGCCACCCCACATCTACCAGAATGGCTATCAACAACAAATCAAGAAGCAAGTGCTTGAGAGGATGTGGAGAGAAGGGAACATTAGTGCACTATTGGTGGCAATGCAGACTAGTGCAGCCAGTTTGGAAAACAGTCTGGAGTTTCCTCAGACAATTAAAAATGGAGCTGCCTTTTGACTTAGTGATCCCACTTCTAGGAATATATCCTAAGAATCTCAAAACACCAATCAGAAAGAATATATGCAACCCTTATGTTCATAGCAGCGTTATTTGCAATAGCCAAGATCAGGAAACAGCCCAAGGGCCCATCAGCAGATGAGTGTATAAATAAGCTGTGGTACATTTCTATAACAGAATACTATATGACTGTAAAAAAGAAGGATCTCTTATCATTTGCGACAGTATGGATGGACTTGGAGAGTATTATATTAAGCAAAATATGCCAGCCAAAGAAATACAAATACCATATGATCTCACTAATGTGCAGAATCTAATGAACAAAATAAACTGAACAAAATGGAACCAGAAGCATGGACACACGGAACAGACTGGTGGGAGCCAGAGTGGTGGGGTTGGGGGTGACTGGATAAAGAAGTTGAAGGGACTAACTAATGAACATATATGCATACCCCATGGACACGGACCATAGAGTGGTGAAGGCCAAAAGAGAGGAAGATGGGGGTAGGTAGAAGAGGGCAAAATGGAGGAAATGGGGAAAGTCTGCAGTAATGTCAACATTAACATTTTTAATAAAAAAAAAGGTTCTAAATACATATTTATCAGAGGAAAATATACAATGGTTAAAAAGCACAAAAAATGCTCAACATCATTAGTCATTAGGGAAATATAAATCAAAATCATCAATGAAATGGCATTTCATGCCCACTAGGATGGCTCAACTTTAAAAAAAGTAAGATAATGACAAGTGTTGAAGGGGATGAAGAGAATTACAAATCCTCATATGCTGTTGGTGGGAATGTAAAATTGTGCAATTACTTTGGAAAACAGGTTGGCAGTTCCTCAAGCGATTAAACATGGAGTAACCATATAACCCAGCAATTCTACTCCCAGGTATACAGCCAAGAGAAATAAAAACATAAGTCTATGTACACAAATGTTCATAGCAACATTATTCATAATAGTCAAAATGTGTAATCAAAGCATATGTCAATGAATTAACAAATATGTTAACACAATGCAAAACATATGTACAATGATATATTTTTTGGTTATAAGAAAATGAAGTACTGCCCAGCCAGCATGGCTCAGCAGTTGAGGATCGACCTGTGATCCAGGAGATCTTGGTTTGATTCCCGGCCAGGGCACATGCCAGGGTTGTGGGCTCAATCCTCAGTAGGGGGCATGTAGGAGGCAGCTGATCATGACCCTCTCTCATTATTGATATTTCTATCTCTACCTCTCCCTTCCTCTCTCTGAAATCAATAAAAATATATTTTTTTTTAAAAAAATGAAGTACTAGTACATGCTGTAATATGGATTAACATTGAAAGCATTATACTAATTGAATGAATGCAGTCACAAAAGGCCATGCACTATATGAGTCCATTCATATGAAATGTCCAGCATAGAGAAATCTTTAGAAACAGAAAGTAAATTGGTGGTTTCTTAGGCTTACGGGTAATGGGAAGCATAGATGGGTGAAAGCCAAAGGGTACAGGTTACCTTTTATGGTGATAAAAATGTTCCAAAATTAACTGTTGTAATGGTTGAAAATATCTGTGAATATACTTAAAATTATTGAATTGTCTGGTTTAATGGGTGAATTATATCTTAATAAAGCTGTTTAAAGAACAACATGCTGGCACTGAGAATCTAATGAGATTTCCTGGCAGACAATGTCATACATGTTGTTATAAGTTGGTGGATGAATGAAGTAAGTCTTGTGTAATTATACTGGGAGAAGATTCTTGGAACCTTGCACCTAGTTTCTACTAGATTAACTCAAGGTGCCTTTTTCCCTTTATTGATATTATTTTATTGTATCTTTTTGTTATAGTAAATCATAGTCATGAGTACTACTGTACATTGATTTCAGAAAGTCTTTCTAGAGAATCACTGTACCTGAAATTTGTCTGGGGTATCCCTGATACCACAAGTCCTGGTTTAAATAAGTTAAAGACAAATGCCATATGATTTCACTTATATGTGGAATCTAAAGAACAAAATAAATGAACAAACAGAAAAGAAACAGACTCATAGATACAGAGAACATTTGGATGGCTGCCATGTGGGAAGGGATTTGAAGGGGTGGGTTTAAAAGATAAGGGGATTAAGAAGTACAAACTGGTAGTTACAGAATAGTCATGGGGATGTAAAGTACAGCATAGGGAATATAGTCAATGATATTGTAATAACTATGTATAGCGGCAGATGGGTACTAGATTTATGAGGGTGATTACTTTGTAAGTTGTGTAAAAGTCTAATCACTGGGTTGTACACCTGAACCTAACATAATATTGTATGTCAACTGTAATTTTAAAATTTAAAAAAATATTAAAAAATAAATTTTTCCAAATATTCAGAGAATATGTAAAAATTCTGGTCAATTTCTATTCAATATACTCACCTTTGTTACCAGTTTGTTGCACAGAGTGTTTTTCTTCAGTTTTCTTTGCTTTACCAAATGGAGGTGACAGGAAAATAGGCCTCCAAAAACCTATAAACATATTAAATAGACTTAATTATTTTGCAATTCCTAATAAAATAAGTGTAGAAAGGAAAATTTATGTTATATGATTCTGCAGTGGAAAAATATTTCTGATACTATTTTTTCAAATATATCTATCAGTAACGGTGATCCTCTTCTCAATTTTCATGAGGTTTATTAAAACAATATTGAAAACTATCTTAAAAATATTTCACCATATACTGGTAATATATTACTCCTATATAAGAATTCAGCAGATGTTCAGTTAACTCTTTCTAAAAAAATTTTGCAGGCAGTTCTTGTCCTAATAAATGAAATATTTGATATAAAATTAGCTACAAGCACCCATTAAGGTGACTGCTTTCCAAAACACAAAAAAATAAGCATTGGTGAAGATGTGGAGAAATTGGAACACTTATACACTATTGGTAGGAATGTAAATGGTACAGCCATTATAAAAATAGTATGGTAGTTTCTCAAAAAATTAAAAATAGAATTACCATATGATGTAACAACTCTACTTATGAAAATCCTACTTATAAAAGAATTGAAAGCAGAATCTCAGAAATATATTTGTATACTCTTTTTCATAGCAGCATTATGCACAACAGCAAAAGGTCAAAAGACACTCAAATGTCTATTGATGTATAAATGGATAAACAAATTGTGGTATATCCATATAATAGAATATTGTTTAGCCTTAAAAAGAAACAGAAAGTAGAATGATGGTTGACAGAGACTGGGGGAAAGGGAAATGGAGACTTATTGTCTTATTGTCTAATGGTTATAAAGTTTTATTGTGCAAGATAAAAAAAACTTCTGAAGATTGGTTGCACAACAGTATGAATATACTTAATGCTACTGAACTGTACACTTAAAGAGTTAAGATAATAAATTTTATGTTATGCATATTTTATCACAATATCTTAAAAATGAAAAAAGTGGCTAAGATTAGGCTATGGTGGATTATGGGCCTAAGGGTAAATGGATGTGTGTTCATGTCACACAGAACGAAGACTGCAATTCAGGATCCTAAAATGGTAGTACTTGGTGTAAAACTTAACTACTCCAAAAATTTTTGTGGAATGAAAAAAACACCCCGAATAGCCATGGCAATCTTGAGAAAGAAGAACAAATTTGGAGGGATCACAATAGCAGATATCAAGTTATACTACAAAGCCACTGTAATCAGAACAGCCTGGTACTAGCACAAGAACAGACATAAAGGTCAATGGAACAGAAGAGAGAACCCAGAAATCGACCCATGCCATTATGCTCAATTAATATTTGACAAAGGAGGCAAGAGCATGCAATGGAGTAAATACAGTCTCTCCAATAAATGGTGTTGGGAAAATTGGACAGGCACATGCAAAAATGAAACTAAACCACCAACTTACACCCTACACAAGAATAAACTCAAAATGAATAAAAGACTTAAATGTAAGATATGAAACCATAAAAATCCTCGAAGAAAACATAGGCACAAAATCTCAGACATCTCTCATAGCAATATATTTACCCACTCATCTCCTAGGGCAAAGGAAACAAAGGAGAAAATAAACAAATGGGACTAAATAAAAATTAAAAGCTTCTGCACAATGAAAGAAACCATCAACAAAATGAAAAGTGAACCCACTGTATGGGAGAACATATTTGTCAATGATACATCTGATAAGGGGTTAATTTCCGAAATATATAAGGAACTCATACCACTTAAAAGGAGGATAAACAATCCAATAACAAAATGGGCAAAGGACCTAAAGAGACACTTCTCCAAAAAAGACGTACAGATGGCCAAGAGACATATGAAAAAATGCTCAAAGTCACTAATCATCAGAGAGGTGCAAGTTAAAACAACAATGATTTATCTCCTCACACCTGCCACCTGCCATAATGGCTACCACCAACAAATCAACACACAATAAGTGCTGGCGAGGATGTGGAGAAAAGGGAACCGTAGTACACTGCTGGTGGGAATGCAGACAGGTGCAGCCACTATGGAAAACAGTGTGGAGTTTCCTCAAAAAATTAAAAATTGACCTGCGATTTGACCCAGTGATTTGACTTCTAGTAATATATCCTAAGAAACCCGAAAAACCAATCAGAAAGAGTACATGTAATCCTATGTTCATGGCAGTACAATTTACAATAGCTAAGATATGGAAACTGCCCAAGTGCCTACCAGTGGATGAGTGGATAAAAAAGCTGTGGGACATTTACACCATGGAATACTACACAGCTGAAAAAAGCAAGGATCTCTTACCCTTTGAGACAGCATGGAGGCACCTGGAGAGTATTATGCTAAGCCAAATACACCAGTTAGAGAAAGACAGGTATCACATGATCTCACTCATTTGTGTAATCTAAAGAACAAAATAAACTGATGAACAAAATAGATCCAGAGACATAGAAGCATGGAACAGACTGACCAATCTCAGACAGAAGGTGGGGGTGGTTGGGTGGGTGGGAAGAGATTAACCAAAGAATATACATGCACATATGCATAACCCCTGGACACAGACAATAAATAGTGTGGTGAAGGCCTGGGGTGTGGGGTGGGTGAGAGGTAGAAGGGACCAATGGGGAAAAAAAGGGTACATTTGTAATACTTTCAACAGTAAAGATAAAAATTAAAAAAAAAAAATACCCACAAAACAAAAAGCACAACATAAATTTTAAATATAATTACGACATATAAGGATAGAAATTGAGAAAATGGGTTAATATTTTCAATGAGCTCTGGACTGTTCTCAGGAAAAGGATTTTGTAAAGAAAAGATAAAATAAAAATTAACAACTTCATTTATTTAAGAGAAAAACCTATTAGTATTTAGGGTACATAGTCACAGGAGCAAAGAGTCTTAATTCCTTCCTGGGAGATGCAGCAAAGGCGCTCTTCCTCTTATCTCTTTTCTATAAGATGATATGGAGAAGGGACAGACACTGTGTAACCTGACTTTAAGAGGATTGTATTGCTCATTTGGGATTGAACATGAGATAAGTAGCACAAAGAGCAGTTTTTTTATACCAACATCTTTCAATTTTTTTTCTAGGATTTAAAAAATCATATTTAGCCTATCAGTTTATATTTTCAGTGTACGACAGCTGAAGATGGGTAAAAGTATATAGAAAAATTTTGCTTTTACAATTGTAAGGGCATCCACCTGTGATTGGTCATATATTAATGAATGTTTTAACAATCCAAAAATTAGATAATTATAGTCCAATTGCAAATATTTAAAATATGTCAAAGCCTTTTATAAAAATGAGACCCAGAGAAAATATAGTTAATTGACTTGTTTCATGTGGAATAATATTATATTCTCAGTTAGATTATAAACTTCATGAAGTCCAGATGTAGTTGAGATAACACTAGGCTAGGTGTTTCTATACCAATAATTATCTATGTGACATTTAGTGAAGTAGTCTTTTTGTGCCTCAGTTTTCTCATTTTTGCAGCAGGTACAATAATGCTATAGTATAGTAGCTCTTTCTAAATTAGAAGATCATGAGGTTAAACAAGAGTTGAAATATAAGTAACATAATTAAACTTGATTAAGAACTCAGGTTCTGGAGTCAGATAAACCTAGGGTCAAATTCCAGGACAAGTGACTTGAACATTTTAGCCTCATTATCCTCATTGTAAAATTGGGATAGTACATACCTCTTAGAGCTGAAATATAGTATGTCTTCATGTTTAACAGCATAGATTTTGGAACACAGGTTCACATCCTGACTCTCATGTATTGTGTTACCTTGGTTAATTATACAACTTGTTTGTGTCTCAGCTTATTCACTGGTAAAATAGAAATGATAACAGTGCCTACCTCCTAGGTTTGTTGTGAGGTTTTAATGAATTCATCATACATATAAAACTAGTAAATTAGTATTAATTAATTGCTATTAGTGAATTGATACTAACTAACTAGTATATGTAAAATGCTTGCAATGGTATAGGAGGATAACAATAGTGAATGGGCTTAGATGTAATAACGTACGTAGTTTGTGTAGCATAGTACTTTACACTCAATCAATATCAGATGCTATTATTTTTATATTAATGGACTTTGAAAAGTGTTATATATATTTAAGGTATTATACTTTTATGTATTTATTATAATATATGCTGAGCATATAGTAAGCATTTGATTGACAAAATTTTACAAAGCACATCAATAACAATGCAGTTGAGTCCCTGAAAAGTTAGTTATGCTCTTTTACTAGACATTTATCAGATGGTGTTTGAAAATATTAAAAATTGAAGCTGGATGAGAATGTGATTCGTTATGACGATTAATGCAACTCTTACAGGATTGCTAATATTGTTATAACAGAATGATATTGAATTAACGACAATTAACTTTGTGTTAGTAAGTTCAAATGCAGTGAAAACATTGTTTTAAGTTTTTCCCCCTCTTCATATAAGGCAACATACCTTTATCACAACCCCACCAACATGCTGCTTTATAAGAGGATCACGGAAATTAATTTCTTTCATCACTTAATGCTTTCCCTTTGAATTGCATCTCTAATTAGAAATCAGAGATTTTCTCAGGGAATATAAAAAATCAGATGAATATTTTCCACTGACTTTTTTTTCTTTATTGTTGAAAGTATTACAGATGTCCCCCTTTTTCCCCATTGACTCACCCTTTCCACCCTGCACCCACTTCCCATCCCAGACCTTCACCACTCTATTGTCTGTGTCCATGGGTTATGCATATATGTATATAAGGTCTTTGATTAGTCTCTCCCCACCCACCCCAGCCTTCCCTCTGTGATTCATCAGTCTGTTCCATGTCTCTATGTCACTGAATCTATTTTGTTCATCAGCTTATTTTGTTCATTATATTCCACTGACTTTTCAAATAAAGCATCACACAGTTATTCCAAGTGAATTAATAATGGCTTAAGGATAACACTTTGTGTTAGTAAATGCAAAGTATATAGTATACTTTATTTTTATTAAATTCAATAATCTACTTAAAAACATGACAAAGAAAAGTCAGTATTATATAGAACAAATTTCAAGACTTGTGCAGAAATAGCATATTAAAATAGAAAACACTGATAACACATTAAATATATATTATTTCAAATATTCTCTCTGATTTTGAAAACTCACTGGAGCTTATTGAGGCATATAACTTCTTGTTATATTTTCAAAGGAAAGGTTTCTTAACCAATGTTTGGGGCATGAGTTCTTCATTTTATTTTTGTGCTTTGAGTTGTAGCTAAAACGCTTTGTGGGAAATATCTAATATGGAGAAAAACACTGATATGATAAGAGTTCCTTTATCATAGTAAGCATGCCTTAATAAAATGGCTTAGGAAATGGAGAATGAAATGACTTACTGTGATCAAGTAAGTATGATTAACAAGGTAAATGCCAACTATTTATTTAAAATTATAAAGCTTTTATAATAACTTAGAGTGAAGCAACATAAGTAGAATGTTTATATAGTTAGGCTTGGATACTTCTTTTCACAGTAACCAATAATGATACAAGTTTGTGAACAACCTCTATTCACCCATTCCAGAATGATGGGAGCTAAATTCAACATGTTGTTTCCTAGGCCAGAATAAGCATCTTTGTTAATAATTCTTAAATTTTACTTCTTTTATAATAAGGTGATAAAACAGATAACTAAAGAGAGATTATTTTCCTAATATCGGTGGGAGATTGGGGGTGAGGGGTAAAGGGAAGAAAATTGGGGGAATCTGTAATACTTTCAACAATAAAATCTTTTAGAAAAAGCAAAGCAAAGCAAAAAAAAATAATAATAAAAAAAGTGAATTGGAATGGGACTAAGATGCCTTTCTCTAAATTTCTGATAAAATTTTCTCAGGCTCAAATCTATTAATGCTACTGCCACTTTGAAAGTGTCACTACATTACTAATTAAACTTGTAAACAAGCTGCTTTCAAAACCCACACACATTTAAGCTTACCATGTGGACGATTATCCTTTTTGCGAGCACCAAGCCGTTGTGCTTCATTTTCTGAGTCAAGGTGGTATCTTTCACTGTCGGATGTAATCTGGTGCTCTTTTTCACTGTCAGAATCTATGTTATATTTTTCTTGCTCTTCATCCATTTGAAGTCTGTCATTTTCAAATTGCATCAAACACTGTTCTCTCCCCATCTCCATCATGCGTCTTTCACTTTCAAACTCATTTTGATATTTTTCATTTTCAGAATTTGCTCGATGTTTTTTAGAATCAGAGTCTATTTGATGTCTTTCCAAATTATCCCAATTTCTTTGAAAGTCAACCTGACATGTTTCAGAGCTACCCTGAAATCTTGCAGATCTATGTTGATATCTTCTAGAGCTATCCCTGCATCTGTCATAGTCAAAGTCCAACTGTTGTTTTTCAGAGTCAGTCAAGGATTTTTCAGATTCAGACCTGCGGTCCATCCAGAATCTTTCCAATTCAGGTTTACTCTGGCAACTTTTAGCTTTTATCATGTGTTTCACAGGATCAGAGGCCATCCCTAGGCTTTCAGAATCTAAGTCCATCGTGCGCCTTTCAGACGAAGGTTCCATCCAGTGCCCCTCAGTGTCAGTGCTCAACTGGTATGTTTTGGTACCCATGAGACATTTTGCAGCTGCTGTGGCTAGTGCATGTCTTTCTGAGTCTGAGTCCATCCCACATGGTTCAGCGTCCGTGTCCATTGTATATCTCTTAGATCTAGTCTTCTGGTATTTTTCTTTCTGAATCAGATGTACCCCAGATGCAGAAGCTGAGGCCATTTTATCCTTTCCCATGTCTGAGTCCACTGAATACTCCTCAGAATCAGAGAGCATACAGTGTTGTTTAATCTCCATCAATCTTTTTTCGGATTCCATCAGGCGTTTTATAGAATCTGAGGCCATTTGGCATTTTTCTGCCTTCAGCAGGTGTTTCACAGATGCAGAAGCTATGGGGCATTTTTCTGAGTCTGAGTCTATCTCAGGTCTTTCATTGTCAGAGTCCGTCAAATATTTTTCAGAGTCAGAGTCTGCCAAGCATTTTTCTGAATCTGAGTCCATCCAGTATTTCAGAGAGTCAGAGTCCACTTGGAATTGTTCAACTCCCACTAGGTGTTGCTCTGACTCCATCAGGTCTTGCACAGAACCAGAAGCCATCTGGTATTTTTCTGCTTCTAGCAGGTGTTTCACAGAGTCTGAGCCCATGGGACATGTTTCTGAGTCTGAGTCCATTCCCCATATTACAGAGTCAGAGTCTTTCCATTGTTTTTCTAAGTCATAGTCCAAACCAATGCCTCTATCAGAGTCAGAATCAATCACACATTTTTCAGAACCAGAATCAGGCAGGGGGGAGACACTTTCAATTATTAGTAGGTCTTGAAGAATATTATAGTCCAAAGAGCCAACTAAAGTGTCAGAACCTCTGGAATCAGAAACTTCTGTTTCAGATTTATTTTCCTCATCATGTGGCATCATAACTACTTCTTCATGACTTAAAGCAAAGACAAACATGAATATTTTAAAAATATTAACTAAATGTTAGCAAATACATTATTTCTGTTAAAAAATCTGTGTAGTAAAATATTATAGATTATATATTTTTATCTATCAAGCTGTAGAAAACAAGAGATGCTAGCCTTATTGTAAAATAATTGGAAGAATATCAGTGTAGGCAGATTTTACACTCACTTGCATTTATCCTGATATTAACTGTTTTCCAACACACTTGAAAGTAATTGCCTGGCTAGGCCACTTCCTTGCAATATACTATTTTTTTGTCCCTATCCAATTGATGTATCATTATTTTGGGAATGAATATAATTCAAAAATGTACTGAAAAATAAAAGTAAACTATTTATATATTCTACTGCAAGTTAAGATTTTATGTACATAGACCTGATTATCACTGAGGCTTACCTTGGAGTGTTGAGCCTTTCTGGAGAAGAATATTCAGATCTGTAAGGTACTATTTTATTTTGAAGGCACATAGCTTGAAGGGGAAATGCATGTTCACTTGATGAACTTGTTACAGTTATTGGCTGCAAAGCAAAATAAATCATAAAGTTATAATTGCTCAGTTGCATTTAACATGAAACACAGTACACTTAGGCATTTTGATTGAGGGGGAGGGTATCACTTCATTAGGTGCATCTGTGCTTAAGGTAAAGTCACAGTAAGAATCTCTTTCAAACTTCAGAGTGTATACTTAAGTATAAGGGCAAGCATGAAAGACACATTGAGAGATGTCTTCCTAGTCTCTACTTTTCCATAAACAAATGCTGCTTTGGTGCTATGTTACTCAGTACCTTGGATTTAGGCAACTGGGATTTGACCTAAATTGGGGCAATCAGATTCTCTTTCCTGGAGATTTAGAGTTAGAATTCAGAACAGGTTTGTTTTTTTTGGTTTGTTTGTTTTTTGTTTAGTTTTATTTTTTATCTGCTGGTTATTTAAACTGTAGACAGGTGACCTCTGGCACTATGAAAACCCTATGTCTGTCTTTTGCCTAGAGAAGCAAAATAAAGTCATACATAAATGAAGTAGAAATAAGAGATCATATACCTTTAGAGAAACAGATGAAAATATTTTCTCCCTGGGTTCCCGATTCCAGTTCCTCCTAAGCATTAACTCTACTTTATGCCCTTAAATTCTCCAAGGTAATCAAGATCATTGACTTAAATCCTTACTACCCCCTTTTCCCCCCTAAAGCTAATATGACAGAAATCTGTTCCTTTAAAACCATAAGTACTATCATCAGACATCAGAATTATTGTTAATATGTTATTGTTAACTTCAAAGTGTAACATATATAACAAGTGTGTTTTTAGGAAAAAAGGAGTCCAAGCACAGGAGAACAGAAAATTGAAGAATGGTCAAAATAAATTTTACATACGCAAAGTGATTTATTCCACCTTCAATGAAACCTAAACAAAAATAATAGCCTTATACTGTAACATGTTATCTAGGTACAATATAAGAAAAAATACTCTGTGAGTTTTAATATATTGTAGGATTGATTTTAATACAAGTTTTGGAATCTCCTGTTTCAGCAGGTAACTGTGAGGCTGAAATGAGACACTATCTAAGACAAAATACTTACTTAGAAAACTGGTAAAGACAAAAAATGTAAATAACTGACAGATAATAAAGAGAATGGTAATATTTTATGTGGCAAACCAATATGAGATATACTGATACACCTCTTAGGGAAGATAGGTAGCAAATAATTTTCATGTGCTTATAAACATTGATCTAAAAAGTACAAATACTCAAAACTTCTTTTACTCCAATTCTAAAATCATAGTAACTGCTTTTCCATCACAATGCTCTGTCACTAGCTTTCATTACTTTGAAAGTCAAGACAAAAAGTAAAAGATGAGGAAAAATACAAGTAATGTTTATAATACTAGTCATATTTTATACTTAATCAAATAATATCTGCCTTCATAAATTGTTAATAATGTTCTTTCATATATTTGATTTATCAGGATACCTGGCCTGAGGAACTATACAAATAATGTTTCTACTCTTTGTAAAACAACCTTTGGAAGCTACACGTTCTACTACACTGATAAAAAAAAGTCTAACAGAAAATACAGTACATATGGAATTCACATTAGTTATTTAGGATGGGTATACTGCCTAAGTTTTGGGGACTTTGACTACATCAAAGCTTTATGTATGCCTTTTGGGACATTAAACCAAATATTTTCCTTAGAAGGAATACTTCTAAAGGTGGTATAGAGTACCAGAAAATTTAAATGTTCTACTTAATAACACCCTTTTCCAGAGGTGACACTTTTAAAATAAACATATTTTTAATAATTATGAAACTTCAATTAACATCAAAAGAAAGGAAATTTACATTTATAAATTCATTAATTAGGACTCTATAAAAGCTACTTTCTTTTTATCTGTAAGACTATGCTTTCCTAAGATCTGTAATTCTGTAACAGTACTGGGAAGTTCTTATTGAGAGAAAAAAAATTGCTGTGAAAACCAAATTCAAATAAATTGTTAAATAAATATGCCTCCAACTAATGAATCTGCAAAAAGTTTCTTTCTTCTAAAGAATTAATTTACAGTTTTATATTATACACTAAACTAATTTGAAGTTAAACCTGTAAATCTCTGTACAAAAGTTTATATCTTCATATCTCCTTTATTTATATCTGCTATTTTTATTACATCTTATAGAGAACTAAGTTGTCATCTTTTAAAATATTTTTTATTTTCAATTACAATTACAGTTGATGTTCAATATTATATTAGTTTCATATATACAGCATAGTGATTAGACATTTATATAACTTATGAAGTGATACCCTGATAAGTCTCGTATCCCCCTGACATCATACATAGTTATAACAATACTATTGGCTATATTCATTATGCTTTACTTGGGTTGGGTGAAAAAGGTAAAGGGATTAAGAAGTAAAGATTGTTATTTCATGATCTTAACAGATTACTTCAGCCATTAAAATTAGGAAATTCATTAGATCATTTCCTAACCTGGTGATACTGTTACTATGGCAATACATCTATAATATACAATTGTATCCTAAGTAGCCATTGTTCTGAAAGAAAGGGACTTATGGGGTATATAGAACTCAGAGTCTGACAGATGACATCAAGTGAGCTACCAGATTCATGGGCAATGTAAAGATAACAAAAAAGATTCTATTAATGACCTGTATTATATTTTACAGAAGGTTTTTTCCCCTCCATAATCTTTTAGTAAAAAGTGTCATTATATTACTTATAATGTATAACATTAGTCTTTAATGCAATTACATGAAAAGAAAATCATAGCATGTGATTTGCAAAGTTTTAAGGATTTTCGGGCTTAAATAGGGAATTTAAGAGTATAAGAGAGAGAGCATGATAAGGAGCCCTTTTACTTTCTTTTTTTTAATTAAATTTATTGGGGTGACAATGGTTAATATGAACCAGGTGTGGGTTTCTGTGTTACAAAAGCTGTATATTGCTCTGTGTACCCACCTGCGAAAGTCATATCTTCTCCCGTTACCATAATTAAGGTCCACTACTCATGAAACTTTACTCTTCAATAGTCCCCCATTTTGTAAACTATACCAACCAATGTACATTAAACATTTCCTTGTAACTTTGCTTTGGGAAAGCATTACTTCTAAAAATGTCCAATCGTAATTAAATCTCAAGGAAAGAAGTAGAATATCCAAGTATTTTCAACAAGTATCCTAAGTACAGCCCAGTTTCAGAAACAATGAGCTAGATGAGGGACTGGCAAACTATGAGCCAAAACCAGATGCCCCCTATCTGTTATTATATGACTCAAGAACAAAAGAAGATTTTCACATTTAAAAACTGTAAAAAAGTAAAACGTAAAAATGTCTTATTAGCCCATCAGTGAGAACCATTGCTTCAACAGTCGAGAACATTTTCTCTTGACCTGCAAAACCCAAAATATTTCAGATCTAGCCCTTTACAGAAAAGTTTTCCATCCCATGAACTAGATAATTTCGAGGACTTTTCTGACTCAGTTCATGAGTCTATGCTTTTAAGCAAGATAGAAAGCCTCTTAGTACTCTGAAACATTTTTTTTCCTGTAGAGAAATGATCAATATGCTTAAATTTATGAAAGGTTAGAGTCTTTTCTTTGAATTTTAATGGTGTTAAAGTCATAAGGTAGTTTGCCCCTAGAGAAAATTTGGGATTTATAAATCTGAAAAAGGAATTTGTGAGTTGCCTATGAGATTCTTTGTGGATCCTCTCATTTGGACTGAAGGAAAAAACAACAACAGAACAATCCAATTAACTCACAAACACTACACATTGAGAGACCCTTTATACCTTAAAGGACTTTGTACAATTATCTAATGCTGAACCATCTAAGATTTTTCCCCCTACACCTAAAAGCTGATTCTAAGAGATGCCAAAAGAATAAGTTCATGTGTGGGCATCTTAATAATAGATTCTCTGTTTCCTCAAGAGTAGGAATGGGGATCTCACAACTAATGGGAGGTGGCTACAAAGACAGTGGATAATGAAAATCACTCCTCTTTCCTACCAAATGTAAGCTTTCTCTTCTATTTTATTTTTTTATCAATAAGATTTTCATTTATTTCTATGTACTCTTGTAAGCTTTCTATTTTAAATTTAAGCTTACAAGTCTCTCAGTGAAGCCTTCACCCTGTGAATGAGGTGAGTGGACATAATATAAATTAATCACTTTTTCATTTGGTAGTTGAAAAGGAGAAAATTCTTAGATGTCCTAAATTAAATTACAGCAGGCCAGAGGATCGAAGAAAGAGACATGAAGGGGTTAATCAGTTAACAACATGAGGGCAAAAAAAACAAAAGACTGTTTATATTCCTGAGTGTATGTTGGAATTTTTAATTAACTCCCAGGTGGCTATTGTACAGTTATCTAACAGAGAATAGCCAGCCACCATGGAACCTCAGGTGCCTCAATATCTAGCTTACACATGAACTTTACAATGTTGCCTACCACCAATTCAAAGGAGCAAACACTTTTTCCTTACAGGCTCTGCACCTGTCCTAAAACTAGCCCTGCTTCACCTTCTCCCCTTACCTGTACCCAATATAATTTTTTTAAAAAATATGGAACACTTCACGAATTTGTGCATCATCCTTGAGCAGGGGCCATGCTAATGTTCTCTGTATCATTCTAATTTTAATATATGTGTTGCTGAAGAGAGCACCCAATGTAAATTTTTTCAAAACAACTTACATCTTTCTTCCCCCTACTTGATGTATTAAAAATCCTGTCAATTCTAGGACAATGGGCATGTTGCATTTTTGACCTAGCACTTCATGTTCCAGGACCTGGTCCTTTATGGACCAATAAAACCCTTTCTTTTAAAAAGACTTTCAGCCATTGAAGTTAAGTTGTTTGTTATATATGTGGCAACTATGAAGGGATGCAATATTCAAAGGCACAGAAGGGGATGCTTCTCCCTCAGATCCCCTCTGAGGCTCATTGTCAGATTTACCTCCTTTTTGGTCCCCATGAAACCTTGGATTGTGTAACTACATT